GGATTTGTGTGGATTAACCAGCAGGTTTGCCCCGTGTGATAACGTCCTGTGTGTTGCATGAGTAATTCAGACTCAGGGATAGTGTAAAAAGGAGAAAAACTCATAATCTGTGCTGACCAGTATCTCAGTGACTGCAGTCAACACGAAAAGCTCATTCTCAGCACTCATGTAGCCCTTTGCCTCATTCAGACTGCTGATATCTTCTATGATAGCGATGACAGAAGAGTCCAAATAGTCCTGCATTGTTTCCAGAAATTCTCCTGCTTCAAGAATGGTTTCTGCCTCCAATGAAGCATGCCTTCTCCCTCTGCGCCATGCAAACACTTCTACTTGCAGCCTGCCCTGGAATTGCAAAACGAAAGGGGGACGTTTTCAGCCAAGAAAGAAGGAACTAAATACAAGCAGATTTTGCAAAAGGGAATTTCTATGTTTTTACAATTATCATGTAAAGTAAGTGATGTATCTTATGATATTATTAGAATGACCATCTCTCAGGAAGTATAGCTGAACAACACAGTTATATCAGTTTTAAATCACATTATCATTTGTTGTTGCTGTTGTGTGCCTTCAAGTCATTTCTGACTTATGGCTACACTGGCAACTCTATCATATGCTTTTCTTAGCAAGTTTCTTCGGAGGGGGTTTGCCATTGCTATTCTCTGAGGCTGAGAGCATGTGACTCGCCCAAGTTCAACCAGTGGGTTTCCATGGCTGAGCTGGGATTCGAACCTTGGTCTCCAAAGTGCAGCACTCAAACCACTACACCATTCTGGCTCTGCTTCTTCTTTAGGAATCCTGGAATTTGTCCTGTAGAGAAGTAGACTGGGGTTTGCTGGCAGATTATTCTAAGAGCCTCTTCAAACTACAAATTCTTACTATGAGGTGGTTAAGGTGGTATAACTATGTAGTATAGATACAATGAGGAGTAGGCAACTTGTGGCCCTCCACCTGCTACTTGATTTGCAGTTCCCATCAATCCTCTCTATTGGCTGTGCCAGTTCAGGATGATGGGTGTTCAATACCTGGAGGGTAAATTCCTCATAGAAGGGTGGGATATAAGAAAGACATAAATAAATACTGTAACTTTAGGACAGAGATAAACATTGAGTCAACTCAAAATAACTAGGGGAGTGTGGCGTAGTGGTTTGAGTGTTGGACTACAACTCTAGAGACCAAAGTTCAGTTCAAGCTTGGCCATGAAACCCATAGGGCGACCTTGGGCAAGTCACATTCTCTCAGCCTCAGGGGAAGGCAATGGCAAACCCCTCTCTGAACAAACATTGCCAAGAAAACCCCATGAACTGTAGTTGTGTGAGACATCCTTCTCTGTCAGAGAGCTCTGGTGCCACAATAAACTACAATTCCCAGGATTCCCTAGCACTGAGCCAGGGCAGCCAAAGAGGTCTAAACTGGTTCATTTCTGCAGTGTGTTTTGGATCTGTCAGTCAGAAATTACTTGAAGGCGCATGCCTTTATCCACACTGCAGAAATAATCCAGTTTGACACCGCTTTAACTTGCCATGGCTCAGGTCCAAAACACACAGCAGAAATAATCCAGTTTGAGATCGCTTTAACTGCCTTGGCTCAATACTAGAGAACTCTGAGAACTGTAGTTTTGTGAGACTTTAGCCTCCTCTGTCAGAGAGTGCTCTGGTGCCACAATAAACGACAATTCCCAGGATTCCCTAGCATTGAGCCAGGGCAGTTAAGGAGGTCTCAAACTGGATTATTTCTGCAGGGTGTTTTTGACCTCGTGGTATGAAATTCAGGAAATTTTGTGAGGCATTTTGTGAGAAATTCAGGGAGTTTTGTGAGACACGTAGCCTTCTCTGTCTGAGAGTCAGGCGGTATCCCTACTACTCTCAGAATCGCATAGCATGGAGCCATAGCAGTTAAACCGGTGTCAAACTGGGCTATTTCTGCAGTGCGGATGAAACTAAGGACAAGAAGACAGTTGGAAGCCTCCCCCTCTAACGGCTCCTCCTCCTTAGCCCCGCCCCCTTTGACAGCGTCCATCACGTGCGAGAAGCCGTGCGCAAACGGCCTCCCCCTCCCCCTCTCATTGCTTGAGAGTGACAGCTAGCAGCGGCCAATCCCCGCCGCCCGCTTGGCCTCTCCGCCTATGCGCGGACTGGCTCCGCGGAGGAGGGCGGGATTTCCGTCGCTGCAGGACCAGCTCGCAGACGGGCCGAGAGAGGGGTTTATTATGGATTCCGCCTGAGGCGCTCGCTAGTCCTTTCTGGCTGTCAGGTGAGAGGGGCGTTTATGGCCGGGGAAAAGGCGACAGAGGAAGCCGCGGGGGTTTCTGAGGGAGAAAGGCAAAGGCTTCCTCCACCCGCCCAGCGGGGTTTCTCTTCCGACACGCGTGCAGCGTTCACGTCTGAACGAGGCGAGGGCGGGTCAGGGTTGCCAAACCCGGGCAGGAGGAAGGAGTCGAGTTGCCAACTTTCTCTTCACTTCCTTTTTGCTCTTCTCTTTCCCTCGCTTCCTCTTTGCGGCTCACGTCGAAACCCACCTTTTGGGCTACATCCGCACTGCAGAAATAATCCGGTTTGACCCCATTTTAATTGCCACGGCTCAATGCTATGGAATTCTGGGAACTACAATGATCAGAATTCTGTAGCACTAAGCCACGGCAGTCAGAGTGGTGTCAAGCTGGATTATTTCTACAGTGCGGATACAGACATATAAGTCCGAAACAGGCTGCAGAAATAATCAACTTTGAGGCCGCTTTAACTGCCCTGGCTCAGTGCTAGGGAATCCTGGGAACTGTAGTTCGTTGTGGCACCAGAGCTCTCTGACAGAGAAGGCTCAATGTCTCAGAAAACTACAAGCCCCAGAAGCATTGAGCCATGGCAGTTGAAAGTGGTGTCAAACCGGATTGTTTCTGCAGTGCGGATGCAGCCCTGGTTTCAAGGAAGCTTTGTGGCGGCATCGTTTGATGCACAGCCCTTAAATCAGGCCTTAGGGACTCGTGGGTGGATTCTGTAATCGTTGTTGTTGTTATTATTATTACTGCTACTATTATGGCCATTGCTGCTGTTGTTTTGGGAGGAAGGAGACGCCAATGTTTGGTGGTGTGATGCTGGCTGGGTTTGTGATGTAGCAATTGCTTATGATGACATTAATTTGTTTTGGGGATCCTCTGTTGAGTTTGGTTGGTGCAAAACATTATATTTGGCCCTCCACATCCACGGATTCTTTATCCACAGATTCAAGTATCCGTGGCTAGAAGGTATTATTTTATTTATTTATTTTTAATTTCTATGCCACCTTTCTTCCAGAAAGGGACCCAAAGCGGCTCACAAGATAAAACCACCTTAAAAACTTTACTACAGATATTGAGAAACAATTAAAATGACTCAGTTAAAATAGTATCGAAATAAAATTAAAACACACACAAGAATTAAAAACATAAACACATTCAAAAATATATATAAATTATAAAAAGCAAACCTTGATTTTGCCATTTTATATAAGGGACACCATTTTATTATGCCATTGTATTTAATGAGAATTGAGCATCCATGGATTTTGTTATCTATGTGAGATCCTAGAACCAAACTCCAGCGGATACGAAGGGCCCAATATATAATGGTTTGGGCAATCCTAATTTTAGCATTCAGTGTTATGTCTTTGCTCCTTAGGATCTTTCAAAGCTGTCCTTCTTCCCAATCCCAATTGCGGGATTTGTGTCCTGGAAACAAACCCCAGTGGATACCAGGGGCCCACTATATGTGCAAGCACTTTACATGGTATTTAATGATAACAAAGGAGATCCACAGCTACTTTTACTATTCTTAGTTGTCTGTTGGTTCTGTGCTTGTTCAGTAATCCTACCAAAACAAGAGTGACTTAGAAATCTGTTGAGCCTTTACAGACTGCCAGAAATAATCCAGCTTGAGGCCACTTTAACTGTCCTGCCTCAATGCTAGGGAATCATGGGAACTGTAGTTTTTTTTTCTGAGACATTGAGCCTTCTCTGTCAGAGAGCTCTGGTGCCACAATAAACTTCAGTTCCCATGATTCCCTAGCATTGAGCCAGGGCAGTTAAAGTGGTCTCAAGTTGCATTATTTCTGTCAGTCTGTACTCACTCTGTATAGCAATTCACTGATTAAACTAGTTAGTTTTCAGAATTGTGCCAAGAAG